TGGACAGTGAGAGAGAGAGACAGAGAGAAAGGTCTTCCTTTGCCGTTGGTTCACCCTCCAATGGCTGCCGCGGCTGGTGCGCTGCTGGCGGCGCACCACGCTGATCCGAAAGCAGGAGCCAGGTGCTTCTCCTGGTCTCCCATGGGGTGCAGGGCCCAAGCACTTGGGCCATCCTCCACTGCACTCCTGGGTCACAGCAGAGAGCTGGCCTGGAAGAGGGGCAACCGGGACAGAATCCGGCGCCCCGACTGGGACTAGAACCTAGTGTGCAGGCGCCGCAAGGCGGAGGATTAGCCTAGTGAGCCGTGGCGCCGGCCTCCCTAGTTTCAACTTGACTAACGACCGTCCACTTCCAGCATGGGACACAGTACACTTTAAATGGATAAGAACGCTGACAGCACCGACAAGGGACTGGCGCTGTGGTGCAGTGGGTAAAGCCGCCACCTGCAGCGCCTGCATCCCACATGGCTGCTGGTTCCTGTCGCAGCTGCTCCACCTCCAATCCAGCTCCAGACGCCCCGAGTCCCTGGGCCCCTGCACCCAGCGTGCGAGAGCCAGAAGAAGCTCCTGGCTTCAGACTGGCCCAGTTGTGGTCATCTGGGAAGTGAACCAGTGGATGGAAGACCTCTCTCTCTCTCTTCCTCTCTCTCACTCTGCCTTTCAAATGAATAAAATAAAAATCTTTAATTAAAAAAAGAAACAAATGTGAAAATAAACAAAATTGGTGGGGCTGTCTTTGGTGAAAAGAAGCTGAGCACATTCAAATGCACTTCAACTCGAATCCAGCAGGCAGTCCCGCAAGCTGCCTGTGGCCTACCGAAGGGGGCTGCACGCTGCACACGTGGGACTTTCCACCCATCGGTTTCCTAGTGCGTACAATCTCCAGCCACAAGAGGCATCAGATGGACGTTTGTGGAAGAAATAAAAAAGAGGTACTTAATACTCATGTATAATTGACTGGTCACATTAACAAGGTCTGCGTTTATTAATGGTCCTCGTTATGCCAGACATTTTAATCACCTCTGCTTACAGATGAGAAGACGAAGGCTCAGAGAGGTTAAACCGCCTCGGCCAACAGCCACAAACCTGCAGCCCGAACCCAGGCCGGCTGGCTCAGAAGCCGGAGTCTTTCCGCCGGACACCACCAGTTCCCACAGCGCCTGCCGCAGGTGGCCCGCCCAGCCAGGGCTCAAGAGCGATCTGTTGACTGGGTTCAAAAAACGAAATGCAGGCCGAGCGTTCGGCACAGCGGTTAAGATGCGGCTGGGGGGCGCCTACGTCCCAGAGTGCTCGGGTCTGGGTCTCGGCTGCATTGCGTGTCCCAGCTTCCCGCTGGTGGGCACCCTGGGGGGCAGCAGGTGACGGCCCCAGCATTCCGGTAGGGGCCGCGCGTGTGGGAGACCTGCGTGGAGCTCCTGGCTCCCGGTTTCAGCCTGGCCCCACCCAGCTGTTGCAGGCATTTGGGATGGAAGATCTCTGTCTGTCTGCTTCGCAAATCAAAATACAAGCAACGCCGATCGGTTTCCCTAAGTTGTCGTTCATAAGAGAGTCCCCTGGGGGCTAGTGGGAGGTCTTCCAAGCCCGTCCTTGGACACTAAGAGCCCGGGCACTGACCCCTGTCCACCACGTGCCCGTGGGAGGCGGCACTTAGTGCGGTCCGGCGTCCGCCCGGACACTGCTCGCCGTCTCCGGCCAGCGGGGAAGAAGCCTTCCACCTTACTGCTGCGAGCGCTCAAGACCGGGACATGGGAGCGGGTCGGGGGCTGGGCTCGGGGTCGCCGCAGGCCCAGGCCCTGCTGTGTCTTCGACTGGCTGAGGGCGATCAGTCTTGGGTTTCCCCGCCTGCAGGAGCGCGGTGAGGAGAATCTAGCGCGAGGGCCGGCGCCTGGCGCAGTGGCGGCGGCTACCCCGGGCCGAGCGAGGGCATGGAACGCCCAGCCGGCTCGGCCCTTCGCCCCCTCGCCCTCCCCGGGCCGGCGGGCGGCACCTTCTTTGCGGCCCCCGTGGCTCCCGTCCCCGTGGTCGCCCGTGGACTCCTCCACGACCGGCTCCTGCGCCTGGCCCAGCTCCGCCGTCCCGTCCGCCGCAAGCTCCGAGGCCTCGGGGTGCATGCCTACTCCTCTAGCGCTCTGCCGCCGGCGCGCTCAAGCCGGCTCTCCCGACCGGCCGCCCAGCCCTGGCCAGCGTCTTTAACAAGCTCAAAGTTTTTCTTCGGTTGGCACAGCGACCGCCGCGCACGCGCTCTAGAGGCCGGCGCGGCGGGGCGGGGCCCGGGACGGCTCCGCCCTCCCCTGCGCGTCGGCGCAATTAACGTAGGGGGCGTCGCCCGGTCCCTATGCGGCTAGCGTCCGAACTCCG